TTGACACAATGAAAATTTTAATCATGGTTTTTACAAGTTGTTATTGTTTACACATACAAAATTTTTATTTTTTTACTTTTATCCCCGAAAACAAACAAGAAGATCATGGCGGGAATTTTAAGTTACGAACCCGCGTTCGATAGGAAAATTGCTGAGAACTCATCGCAGAGTTTGAAACGAGATCGACGACCAAGTTTTCCTGCTTCAAAGTGGACAAAGATTTTGGGAACTTTGGTGTGTATCCATTACTGCGCTTTTCACAAACATGCCAATTCTGAAGTTCAAAAGCCAACTGACGATTGCATTTTTCGCTGCCGTCAATCATCTTAACGGACCTCTCAGAAAACAAAACTTTACTTTAACGGGTTCAAAAGGTCAAGGTTTGTGATTTGTGATTGGTGGATTTCGATCCGTTGAAACTCGCTGTAATTTACACCTAGCTACCCTGGTTCCAGAGGTTGTTCTTGATTTTTCTCCGGGTGAGAAAGAACGAGCACTTACCAGCGAGCTTCGCGATTCGTTCTCGCCGCTTTGCTCGTTTCCAACATCTTACTAACATCTCAGTCATTATGCATGAAACTGTACCCCCTGATATATTTTCTGCACCCCCACAACTGTGAAATGGACGCAGCCTTTCTCGAGCCTTTCTCTTTCTTTCAGCTCCCAGGACAGAAGTGTAGTACACTCTGCTGGTATAGTAGAATTCCGACTTCACTAACGCTAGAGCCCTGGTGGTTCAGTGGTTAGAACGTCCGATCTAGTATTCTGATGTTCGGTTGTTCGTGCATATCATCCGTACATTTTCCGAGAATCTTCGGTTACGACTTTTAAGTTATTCAAAATTCAATCTCAGTCCCTCTCGATCGATGTGGTTTTGGTGGGTAGAATATAATGCCGACCCATGCATCACTGCCGACACGCACTTTTAAGGTAGCGCGCGAGGCTCGTGTCACGCGCGTCGCGACAAGACCGCAGGGTCATGTGGGTAGGCAACCACCGTTTCCAATGATTTGTAAATTTTTCAGACATAAATTTGTCATTTGCCTATTTAGTTTACACTCTTGTTTTTAAGAAGCAGGCTATCACTGTCTTGGCCTGATGCATCCAAGAATCAATAATTTTGAGTTTTGGCTAGGACTGAACAATACCATTTGAGCCGGGGGGATTTGAGCCTAAAAAAGTCTCTTATTAAGCTGAGATGTTCTTTAATTACATGTCCCAAAAATGGAGTTAGAAGGTCAGCACGCCAGTTATAGCTCATGCTTTGAGGGTCCAAGCATTTATGGCATTTAGTGATTTGGCTCGTTAATTGCTCATGTTGAAATTGTTAGATTCAGAAGCTCCTGTTGGAATACAATGTTCTTGTACAATGTTCCTATGTTCGAAGGCTGAACCTGGTGGAACCTCAGCCTGGGGTACCACAAAACTCCGAAAATAGCCCGGGGCCTATATTTTTAAAGGTTCGTTCAAAAAGACATGAATTAAAAGCAAAAAATTCTCTCGAAAAAAGAAAACTCGTATTACTTATGTTAAGTAGATTAAAACACTCGGTACGGCACACTGTGCAAAGTATTGAACACTCACCGAGTTTCCTTCGCTATTGGGCGACGGGTGAGAAGGGAGAAGTCACTTTAAATTGCTTTGCATTTGTTTTGTCTGCGAACCTTTCACATTAAGATGATGAGCTTCGACACTCCTCCCTCATAAATCAACAAGACATATGCAAAATAGAAAAATATTCACTCAATTGAGATTACAGTAAGTCACGCTCAAACAGTCAATCACTCGAGTTTGACTTGACTAGTCAGATCCGCAAATCTGTTGCTAAACTCGAGCGATACCGAGTTACTGGCGATCTAGTGATACCAGGATAAACTTATGACAGTCAATTTTATCATCATTTGTGCAGTTTGCTTGAAGCAGAGGCCCAGTTTGTCAATTTAAGGCTACATTCCAGCGTTCCCGAGAAACCAGCTGCGTGTCGCGTGCTGCACGCGTGTCTAATCTGTATCTACAAACTTGCCGTTTATAATCTCCAGTCAGCAATGAAGTTAACAACAGTTGCTTTGATAACCATTGCTACATTTCTTCTGCATTCCTTGGTGAGTCTTTCAGTGGCGATGTAGAGTTAATTTTAACATATTGGCCACCATTCTGTATTCTGTGAAAACGCTTGTCAATGCTTCCGCTTTCGACTAGCTAGTCGACTAGCAATACAATTTTATGAAAATTCGTACGGCTTTTCCGGCCTTTTGATTACCCATAGTCCATATGTTTTGTTCAGTAAACAGCCTAACCAATGATCAGCTATAAAAAAAGCAAGCTGTTTCATTGTTACGTCGCAAAGCAAAACGTCAGTGTTTCAAAAAGTAATACAAAAGTGGATGTTGATTTACATCAGACAAAATTTGCAAGCTCCTTTTTTAGATTAAAAAGTTTCAACAGATCAGTTTGCTTTAAAAGTATTTTCGATTCACTAAAGAAAAACGGCACAGAGATGAGACTTGATGAACAAAGTGCATTAATTGTTTATGAGTTAACTATAGATTTGCAAAAGTCGACAACAGTCTTAAATCAAAATTATCCATAGGGGCTTAAATGTTTGGCTCAATAGGCGCTGTGCTACTTGTTTAGTTGAATCGAAACAAAGAAGGAAACTAAGGGCTGCTATAAAGGTTCCTTGACTACTTGTGATATAACAACTGGAGATGAATTCTATTTCTCGAAGATCACTGAGTAATCTTTATAGTTTTGCGAGAAAAAAATGTCAAACGTCGAAATTTGCATAAGTAATGTCTGCGGGCTGGTTATAGAAAATATATTATGCAGATGAAAACAGAAACGCTTTCAGAGTCTGATTTTTAACAAAGCCCTTTTTATTTTCGCAAAAACTTGAAATAATTAAAATTCGTCTCTCACAATAGTCTTTGTGTTTTCAAGGTTTCTTTGCTTGCCGTTCTTGCCACACCAAGATTAATTTCACTTTCCAATATGAAAAGAAATTTTTACGCATCTCGAAATTAAGTCAGTTTTTTCATTGAAAGATGCTTTGTGGCCTGAAAGTCTCATTGTCAATAGTGTTTAGCCTTAATCGTCCAGTAATATAAATTGTGTGGGCCTATCGAATTAATAAGGAGATAGTTGCGCAACATGTTTAAAGTGTCAAATGTAGAGTGTGTTTTGTCATATAGTCACGTCCAGCTCCGACTGGCAGTTAAGAGTAAAATAAAAGGAACGGTGTGTTGAAGATTCTGGGAAAGTGCCGACCTACCCCTCCCGGCCTAAACAAACATTTTGTCCTAAGTGAAAAGTTAGGGTTAGCGTTAAATAAGGGGAGGAGAAGGTGGGTCAGGTCCAAATACAACAATCACTAGTATTCTCTGGTCTCGAAACACAGACGTAAACTGAATACGTTTTGCCTAACATCAGGGGCACCAAACGTCAATTTTGGGAAAATATCTGTTCGGAAGACGATTTGAGAGCTATTTCGGAACATTTGTCGTAAAATTTCTTGCTCGCTTGCCTCTCCTACGATCTTCGAACATCTAAAAAATGGTATAAATGCCAATTTTTAACGGTTTTTTACCCTAAAAACGTCACCTAGAATTTTCGGGAGCTTTATTTCTGGCTGAAATTTTCGAAAAGGTAAGTTTTGATCCGTATAATTTTCGGATCACTAGACTTTAGCTAGAAAATCCGAACAGATGAAAAACTTTTAGGGGATACTTGAAATATGTCTATATCTACCGTTTAAATACTAAAATACGTTTAACAATGCTATGTTTAAGTGGTTTTGAACAAAATTCTGGTTGGGTGCCCCTGTCACATCTTTTTTTAATTCCTTATCTAGGCTCACGGTGGTGCGAAGAAACGAAAGATCAATTTGACCAAAAAGCCACAACGTAAGTAACTTAGTAGTGACGGTCTCAGCTCAGCTCCTTGTCTAGTTATCCCACGGTGGAATGCGTGTAACATATTTTGCTGGCTTGAAACTGTTGAACGCCCGCTATAAGCCTTTCTAAAACTCCAGAACATAGAAAAAGAGAACTCCGATCATTGTGGCCTCTTTGGATACTTTAAATAAACTTCCCTGTAGGATTCTCTATCAGAAAAAGGCTTTTGTTTTTACAGGGTGGTGATTATGAAGTAAACGGAAATCGAAGCCCTTTTACAACTAACCGATAACTCGATATGCAAGCTGAAGCCGCTAAAAAAAAGAAAGAAAGAAAGAATTTTAGATTTTCGCTTTCCACTTTTCTGAACTTTTTAGTTGCTTTGATATAAAATTGTACTCTCATGTTTGTTTGATGCATAATCCTAAAAGAGGATGAGCTCTTTCTCTTCGATTCCGGGCACATAGAAGTGCCAGGTGTAACCTGTACGCGAGCAAGCTCTTGGAGGTTCGAGGGACTGGGGAGGTGGGGTGAGGCAAACATTTTGTCGAGGTTAACAACGTGACTTCATACTGAGATCTGATGGGGAGAGGCAAAAACAACTGGACTTTGATAATTATTAAGTTGTTTTGTTAGCAATTGATCACGGATTACTTGTGACTTTATTACAGGTTGTTCACGGATTTGTCCTCCTGGTCGAGAATGCCAGGTTCTCTCAGATGGCAGCACCAAGCAATGTGTTTGTTTGTCAAGGTGTAAGAAGAAATATAAACCTGTGTGCGGTACAGACGGAAAGCTGTACAACAACCACTGTGAACTGCACAGGACTGCTTGCAAAACAGGAAAAAAGATAAGAGTTGATTGGGATTTTAAGTGCTTCAAAAAAGCGGACAATGGTAAAAAAGGTAGGCAGTTACATGACAACCTGAGAAACTGAATAGACTTGCGAAGATTGTTTTTTCCTCTGAGGAAAAGAAGCGACAGTGTGCTGGTTGAAAGGTCTTTGAGTACATTCCAGGGGTGGGGGGGGGGGGGGGGGGGGGCCTAAGGGGATTTTGGGGGGAGGTGTTGGGCGAAAGCCTTCACAAAAAAACCCCCTTTTTTAAAAAAATTGCGTGCTCATTACGCTACCCCTTTTTAAAAAAAAATACTTTTTTATTAATCCTTCTTCTAAACATTTTTTTGACAAAATTAAAAAATTTTTTAAATATACAGAATTAAGATATTTTGAAACTACCATTGTGGAGTTAGATTTCTTTCCTACTGATAAACAGGTACTGCCAAAAGCCATAATGGGACTTATGGCATTATGGATCTTGTTGCTTGCTTATAGACATTCGTAGGGAGGGACAACATTTATCTTATGTCTCAATTAAAATCCTGTCACATTCAATGTCTGCATTGTGGTCACGTGCTGATTCAGGATGTTGGACAGCAAGATACTGTACTGTTTGCGCTCTTCCTCAGTAATTTGTTTTTAAGAACGCATAAATATCCAACTTCTTTTCAAGTATCGGATCGAGGTTATCTGAGCTGGATATTATACTCGACCAGATGCTGAGTGGTTTTCTGTTGATCTGTCGGATAAAAGTCTTATGATATGTCGTCACCCTCGATCACCCAATAAAGTCAATATGGAAAAAAGGACATTTTGACATGCTTCAAGCTATGCTGGCTGTCGCATTCTAACTTCTGTGCGTTGCATTATTAGATTGCCCTAAGAAGCAGTTATCTAAAATGCAGCAGCTCATTTTGGAAACCTTCCAAAAGGAATTACATGGGAAAGAAGTGACGTCAAAAGTCCTGATTGACGAGCTATACTTCAGGTATAACGGCGATCGCGACGACAGCATCAGCGGTTCTGAGCTGAAACGTCTGGTTACCGACTACCTCATGTATCCAAAAGTCAAAAAGCTTGTGGAAATCTGTCACTCAAAGCAGTGGCTTAGAGCACAAGACAAAGACCAAAATGGAATTCTCTCCAAGGACGAATTTTCGCGTAGTTTCGGTAAGAAAAATTTGCTATCTTTATGTTCACCGAGCATTCTAAATTTACTTTCCCAAATTATATGCTAATTAGACGTAGTTAGAAAGGCAGCGTGGCCGAGTGGTCAGCCCGTCTGGCTGACAATCTGGCGGGAAAAGCAGCAAACCGTGCCGATTAAGGTCCCAAAGAACCGTGGGAATGCTTCAGCCTCGTAAGCGAATACCTTCACCGACGGCAGTAATCATTAAAGTGATATGTTTTCAATAAGTGGAATGTGAACCCAGTGTATCTGTATTCTAACAAAATTAAGACTGAATCGGAATAAAACCCCATTTTTGCTGTTTTGACTTAGTGCTTGGGAGGAAAGCAATCACGCAAACAAGCAATCATGTAAAGAGAACTTGCTGTAAGAAGGGAAAAAAACCCACCAACTTAAGTGTTTTTTTCCCTACGTTTTAGCGAGCAAACCAGAAATAAGCATTCTGAAAAGTGAAGAAGAGCCGATATCTGGTTCCAATCTCACCCTTCAATGCCGAGCACGAGGTTACCCTGTTCCTGTTGTCACGTGGTATAAAGACCAAATCAAGTTAAACAAAACTGAGCATGTGTCAGTTTTCTCTGATGGGAAACTTTCAATTGAAAAGCTCGCGCCAGGAGACAGTGGTGTGTACACATGCAAGGCCTTAAATAACATGGGAATGGATAAGAAACATGTTGAGATCAAGGTCCAAGAACCAGTTCCCCGCGACTCTTCAGTAACAAGTAAGGAAAAAGAAAGGAGTTGTAGACAGCATAAAACCTGAAAGACATTCAACAGACAAAAACATGTAAACTGGACGATGAAACAAACGGATTATTGTTTTAAGATCAAGTCTGATTTCTTTCTTCGAGGACTGCAAAAAAATCAAATGTTATGTCTGCTAAACTATGGGTTTTTAAAACCCTTTTTATTCCATTGGCATTTTCACGTAGTTTTCACTATTAACAGCTTTATTGCTGCTCATCTGTGCGCGAAGGTCTGGTAAAACAGGCTGATTGAATATAGAAATCATCTGTACGTCGTTTCTCGTTCCTTTTTCATATGGAAACATACTTTACGTTCGCATGCAGGCAAAAATGTTTGATTAAGTTATAGAATGAGAAAGAAGATTGTTTTTCGTTTTTTTTACTTAATAGCTGTTCAAGGAGGAAACATGTTTTACGTCTTTGCAAACGACGGCGTCTACGTCATTAATCCTGAAACGTCAACGACTGTCAATCACATTCGAGCTGATGACGTCATAAATGGTACGACAAAACCCATATGCACCAGAAGTCAACAGAAGGCTTGTAACTGGGGTGGAGCTGTAAGCGTCAACTTAATTTACGTATACGTTGCTGACTTTCTGGGCCAAAGGGTTTTAGTCCTGGATATTGCCGCACAAAAGTTCGTTGAGGAAGTGCCAACAGATTACTATCCCTATCAGCTAAAATATTTAAGGTGAGAATATCTAAATTATTCTTACATGTTTTTTTTTGAGCCCTTAAGGCTGACAAGGGAAAATGATTTGATTTCATGTAGACAAACTGTTTGGCATGTGTTTTCAGCCTAATGCACGGAAGAACTTCACGGCTTTAATGATACGATGTCTATTTCTACCTTCCTTTTATAAATGCATGGGAGTTTTATTTCATACTTTTGTCGTAGAAGCTGCTTTAAATAATTCTTAAACTCGTTGGTCAATCATACATGTGAGTATTTTTCCGTAGGCCAAACTTATAATAATAATCTTAATCAATTATTCCTACCTTTTCAATTGCAATAAAACAGCTTTGATTTTAAGGAACATGTAGGAATAACCTGTAGTCGCAGACCTTTTGAGAAATATGTTGGTTGTTGTATCCACTCAGCTCGTTTAATTTTTGCTATTCTGAGTAGTATTTTTTGCCTGATTTAACTAATTTATTCTATGTTTGTAAACTTTCTTTATTTGGCAAACAAAATGGTTGGTGTGTTGTTGTTGTTGCCGATTGTAGTAATATTTTTGGTCTCTTTACAAGGTCCCTCGATGCCGTCTGGATTCTCAGTTGGGAAAACAGCTCTCTGGAAGTTCTCACTGAAGATGAAGACGATAATGGAACGCTGTCAGTAATAAGCAATGCCAGCAAAATGATTCTTCACACTGCAACCAAACCGATGATGAGTGGTTTCCATGATGCAGCTCATGGTTTCTTTGCGGCGGAAAACTGCGAACTGACAGAAGACAAATATGGTTACGTCACTCATATTATGGAACCTGGCCTTCACGAAGTTGACCTGGCTACAAGGCGTTACACTAAGTTTTATAACTTTAGCGAACATCAGTGTTATGGGACTTTTGACTTGGCTCTCTCTCAACCACATAAATATGCGTTTGTGCAGTGTTATACAAATAAAGATCTTGATAGCAAAGCGCAGTTGGTGATAGATTTGAAAGAAAATCAGCTTGAAGCCAAAAGTGAGCAATACTTTGGTACATCATTCGCTTCCCCTGATGGTCGCTTTATCATAACATTGAATTATTATGCAATTTTAACCCAATACATCGACCCGGCGGGACAAATTTTCTTGTTTCCGGAAATTGAGTCCAACATTCTTCTCAGCCACCTCGTCTTCTATCCTCGCAACGCTGGGTATGACGTGTACGTGACGTCAAAAGACCAATCTACAATCATTGTGCTACACGTGGATCAAAGGGGCATCGACACACTAAAATTCATCTCAGGTGTCGGTAAGCCTTTGCAGGAGGACTGGATTCACACACAGCGTCCAATCGTGATTGGATGTGAGGCTGGCGCCCGTTACCTGGCAACACCGGCAACAAGAGAAGACGCGGTCATCATTCTAGATGCAGAGCGGAAAGAGATGAGTGGAAAAGTTGGAGGAATTAAAGGGGCACAAACCATTTTGTGGGTTAGAAACCAGCAAGAATAAAGCACAGGATCATGATCGATGTATTAATTGATATTATGTGAACTGTTTTTTAACAAACAGTAGCCAGGGGTAAAGTTTTATCAAGTTACAAACACGATCCACGGCCGAGTGTTTTTAGCTTGGATATATTCTTTCTCTATTTCGCTATTCTCGGCGAGTTTATTGACCGACTTTATAAACGTTATTTTTGATCTGCACGCTGACTCTTTCCCTCTGCATGGAGCTTTATTAAGGTTACTTTTTTAATGAAAATAGTTTTGACTTGATCACCGTTTTCAATAATTTTTATTAATTTCAAAAAAGAAATTGTAGATACGACAATGTCAGTGTAGAGCGTTCCTTGTTTGTTGTCTTTTGAAGAAACTCTTGGAATAATTTCATCTATTTTTAACATTGCGGAGTTGTGCTTATTGGATGGCAATAAGTCACGTGGCGTTTAGAAGCCGTTGGAGCAACCTCGTTCCTAGTGTTCTCTCCTACTTGTCCCCCCTCGTTTCCAGGGTTCTCTTTTTCTCGCTCTGGAGGACAAATAAGAGAGAAACCTGAGAACGAAGTTGAATGCGGTGAAAACAGAAGGGGGCCAGAATATGAGATTGCTTGATCCACTTCCAGTTCCTCATTTTTGCCAAGATCTTGCTTGTTCCTGGCCTCATTGGGCATGAGTCTGAGAAAAGCGAAAACAAAGCTCGCGGGGAAGATTGGAAGGGAAAAGAGGAAACAAGGGACGCTTCACTTTTTAGAGAGAAACCAAAACCGATTTGTAATGACAAGAGGACGAACTGGGACTTAAACATGAGTTTCCTGATAACAGAGCCGTCTGTACTGAGAAAACTTTTATTTGTAATATCCTTTAACCTATCTACAAATGTCTTGTATTAAGATTCATCGTACATTAGAATAAAATGAGTATAACATTTGTATAGAGATATCTAGAGATCCTTCTAGAATCCTTGGCTGTACCTTCGAACCTGAACATCTAGTGAAAGAAACAAACAAACAAGTAAACAAATAAAACCATGTCAGCTCATTCAAACTAATTCAAAAGGCAAAATGATCGTTAAATTCAGTGATTTCTTGATTTGCTAAATAATGGAGAGAAGATCTCTTAGATATGACCTTGTCCCAAGACAGTTCTGGTGACAAAGCCGGGTTTCAAAAGGATTTGCTAACTTACCATAAGTTTTAATCATCTATTTGCCGTGTCGATTCATTCGTAAACGTTGAGGACCTGCAACAAAGAGATTTGTACTTTCTGGTGAAGACGACAACACCGGTATTAAATAAAAGTATCACTTATTTAATAAAAAAAGGCCATCGCAGTTTTATAAATAAATTAGTAGTGAATGGCCCTGCGATAAACAATACGATACAGCACTCTCTCATGGTCTTGAAAAGTAGTTGAAATTCCTTTCAAGGCAGACCGAGATCGCTCAGGAATACTTATCAAACGCATTAATTCGCCATTGGTAGCTAGCCGATAATAGCAAAAAAACTTGGCTTATCCATAATTTCAACATTGTTGTTTGGCCCATCGTTTAAGGGAAACGTTGATTATATAGACACATGCTAACTTACTGTCCTCAGTATCCATGCCTCTTGTATCGTACTCGACGTATTCTGAAACAATTTCAAAGTTTTGATTTGTAATTGTTTTCCCAACGTAATAGAGATAATACTTCCCTGAATAAAGTAAGCCTCAAGACACTTTTGACCAAAAAATTCTTAAACCCTTGGTTGAATAACCCCTGCTTTGAAAAAANTAACTTACTGTCCTCAGTATCCATGCCTCTTGTATCGTACTCGACGTATTCTGAAACAATTTCAAAGTTTTGATTTGTAATTGTTTTCCCAACGTAATAGAGATAATACTTCCCTGAATAAAGTAAGCCTCAAGACACTTTTGACCAAAAAATTCTTAAACCCTTGGTTGAATAACCCCTGCTTTGAAAAAAATGTAATGAACAACATTGCAAAAAAGTACGTTGAAAATATCTAGTGTTAGCCCTTGATGGATACGGGCTCAAACCTTACATGCCCTTGTTTTTTCCGTCTTTTATTATCTTTAAATTTTAAGTTTTAAGACTTTTTTTCATGCAATGTAAGTCAAAATAACAATCTCATTTGGAGGTATCCATTCTAACCCAACCCCAACCTATTCCAGCCCAACCACTCAGCCTAAAATTCTACTAGACAAGAAGGATTAATGTTGAGCCTTATCAACAACAACAACAACAATAACTTTATTTATTAGAGCATGCATAAGAATTGGAAGAGGAGAAGTATCTACCCGCAATTGGTAATAGCTAATCGAGATGGGTAGTTAGACCAAAAAAAATTGTTACCAATATAATACAAAGATTATAAAAAAAGTTACACTAACATATACAGTGTATGGCGCGAAATACAAGAAGCTACAGCTAATAAAGAGATTAAGTTACAAGGTTATTATAAAAGGATCAAAGTTAAATGTTTTTCATTATATAAGTAAATGAAGATGTCCAAGGGTACGAGTTTTCAGATTTCAGGATATTAGTAAGCATTTCATGTACTTGTTATTTGAGTAACTTTTTGCTCTCCGATTCTCTCAGATTATTCTGAGGTAAAACCTCACTTTGTACCTTTTTCTTCTCCAAGACCTGGTTCTGGGTTACTGTCCTGACTGTTTACAAACCTAAAAAAAGAAAGCAAACATAAAATATACCACAAAATTCCGAAAATAAGCCCCGGGGCTTATATTTTTCAAAGCCGCTTTTTGAGGGGTTTATTTTTGGAGGGGCTTAGATTCGGAGGGGCTTATCTACGGAGTGAAATTTGTGTTTCAAAATCGATTGGGCTAGCTTTATAGTTGGAACTAAATTTACCGTTTTTGCTTTGTTTTACCTTGTATTTGAGGGCAGTTTTCCAAGTACAAGCCCCCGGAGGGCTCATATTTGGAGGGGCGATTTAACTGAGGGTTTTTTGAGTTACCGGTTTGGGGCACTTTTATTTGGAGGGGCTTATACATGGAGGGGCTTATTTTCGGAATTTTACGGTACTCCCAATCTAGAACACGCCCACCAGCTAGAATCTGTTCTTAGTGACCAAATAACTGGTTTAAGACTGAATTTCTAGAAAACTATGCTTAAATGTGGCTGAATCCTGGGTTAACGTTCGGCATCTTGGCCAGAGCACTGACGATTTACTTCATGGTTGTTATGCTAGATAAAAGGAGATAAGATAGGTATCAACCTCACCCTCTTCTGCCGTGGCGGTTGATTCTTAACCTAGGAGGAATTTGTGGATCTGAAGAAAGAGATATTTAAGTTATTTACTGCACGATTGGTCAGACAAAAAACATATGTTATGATAGAAACTAATGGAAACCATTTGGCCTTTAAACCGCCTTTATAGAGCTTCTAGACGATACGTGCGCAGGCTAGTCTTTCTTTGAAATGAAAATTAAGCCGTCTTTCTGTGACGAGCAAAAATGTCATTGGTTCACCCTGCGGCTATGGTAAAACGTATAGCATGGGTCCTCCCATAAACTCCCTTGTTAAAATTCCCCCAAAAATAGTCACAACATACGGAATACTGCTGGTTTCAATGACAGGATTTCATCCACAGAAACAAAAATTTTAACTGCTTACTAACCGTTTAAAAGTACTCTAACATGGTGTCATTTGAATAGTGGCTTTGAAGGATTACATCGACTGACGATCTCAAAAGATAGACCTACATTGAACCTCTTTATAGCGGTTTTCATTTGAGTGTCGAAAAGTAATTGGTTTTGCACTTTCTACACGATGCGATTGGCTTAAAAGATTCGCGCCACCTTTTCATCCAATCAGAAGTAAAACCAAAGCCAATTGTGACGCGCTCGNATGCTAGATAAAAGGAGATAAGACAGGTATCAACCTCACCCTCTTCTGCCGTGGCGGTTGATTCTTAACCTAGGAGGAATTTGTGGATCTGAAGAAAGAGATATTTAAGTTATTTACTGCCCGATTGGTCAGACAAAAAACATATGTTATGATAGAAACTAATGGAAACCATTTGGCCTTTAAACCGCCTTTATAGAGCGTCTAGACGATACGTGCGCAGGCTAGTCTTTCTTTGGAATGAAAATTAAGCCGTCTTTCTGTGACGAGCAAAAAGATCATTGGTTCACCCTGCGGCTATGGTAAAACGTATAGCATGGGTCCTCCTATAAACTCCCTTATTAAAATTCCCCCCAAAATAGTCACAACATACCAAATACTGCTGGTTTCAATGACAGTATTTCATCCACAGGGTGAAAAATTTTAACTGCTTACTAACCGTTTAAAAGTACTCTAACATGGTATCATTTGAATAGTGGCTTTGAAGGATTACATCCACGATCTCAAAAGATAGACCTACGTTGAACCTCTTTATAATTTAAGTCTAGAAATAAAGAGGGTCAATTGAACAAAGTCCTCACCCTACGTATTATTCAACAACAACAACCTGCTCAATATTACCTACTAAAGCATCATGTGCAGTAAAAGCCCTAAATTCTGAAAAAGGAAAGACAGAAATAATTCAATTTTCGTTTAAAACAACTGTTAAGTGTTAAGGCTAGAGCAAAAAATGTTACTTAAGAAAAAGATCAAAAATTAAAACACCACCTTTTTTGAGTTTCATTACGGCATTACTTGGCTTCACACTAGAAGCTAAGTTTGTTTCAAGTAAGCACTTGATTCAAGTGGACTTGGAAATATTAAGTTGGTCTGTAGAAAACATGGCTTCACACTTGATGACAGAATATATTACTTGAAGTAAAAGCTATCAATCTCTCCGTTCATTAGAATCTTGGAACCGCTGCACGTGCTCATCGTGCACATGACTTCCATTTCTTGTTGGTCAAGTGTGTTCTCAAGTGTGGTGTAGCCCATACTTGGCGGCGAACTTCGGCTTCTTTGAACTACAAACGTTGCCATGGTTACCAAGTAAAGTTGAAGTGGGTACATTTTACCCCTTCACACTCAAAGAAGGTTCCAAGTATACTCACATTATACTTAAAGCTCTAGTGTGAAGCGAACAATTGAAATAAGCACTACTAAAAAGTGCTAATTGAGGATCCTATTATGTTTCCTACTGTAGACGGAGTGGCTATTTTTCGTAGGTCATCTGAGTCACACGAAGGTTTCTGAGCTGTTTGCAGTACATTCAGTTCTTAGTTATTTTTTAAAAAGGCCCTGAATGATTTTTAATCCCA